AATCTTGATCAAAAGATTTTAGACCTCAAAACCCTCTCTTTCAAAACGTTTTTGAAATAAAGTTTTTATGATGTTCCGAGGCTCGCATTTTGTCAAATGTTGCGTTTTTCGGTAAACCGAGCAAGGACATAGTAGAAATGAATGAAAGAGAGATGAAATCTTTGAAAAATCTTTCAAAACACTTTGTTTAGGGGTTTGGAGTTGAAGAAAAGAGGAAAGGAGAGAAGAAAACTAGTTTGGGAGAAGTTCGGCATGAATCCAGTTGGACTGAATCTGCGCGGCTTCACCAAAACAGGCATAATAGGCATAACTTTTTGCACAGGAGGAATTTTAATGCAAGGCTGGTGCCATTGGAAAGCTAACTTCCGGGGCTTCAATTTGGACACAAGAATGACCTGAAAAGGAGTTCATATGATGGAGTTTAGGTCTTGTTGTGTTTTCATGTGCATTCATTTCGCATCGAGTCGGGCAATTCGACTCCTCGGCCATCATGCATCGAGATGCGTGATTGGTGGCACGAGGATCGAGGACTACACTCCCTGAAGAGTAGTCATGCATACATATGTGAAAATACTTTGGTGGAAGGAAAATGAAATATGTGAACTCTTTCTTAACTAGACTAGTATATATAGGAAGAGAAGATGAAGAGAGTACTCATGATTGATGTGTTGGAAAGGAAGAGAATAATATGGGAGATGGTGGGTAATTATGATGGAGGTGAAGGAATAACATGGATGATAGTGGATTGGCATAAAAAGAAGTGAAAGATGAAAGGTTAAGTATGATTGATGAGTTGGAAAGAAAGGGAATATCATGGGTGATTGTGGAGATAAGTTGATGATATGTGATAATATTGGTTTTAAAGATAATTTGGTGGTAAGGGGTGAGTTGGTGTCTTTCACCATTAGATTTCTTTATTATTATTATTATTATTATTATTATTAAAAGAAAAAGGATAGTGTAAAATACAATATTACTATAGAGTAATTGGTCTTTACCTAAAATATTACACCATTAAAATACGATCTAATAAAATCAAAATACCAAAACCACTCTCATTTATCATTAAAAATAATAAATAAAAATATATAAATATGGGGTTTCCCAATCTATCCCTCTTAACAAATTTCGTCATTGAAATTCCTGCTATACTACATTTCAAAAAGTTACGGATAATTTGCTCGCATCATGTCCTCCCGCTCCCAAGTAGACTCCTCGATTCTTTGATGACGCCAAAGTACCTTGACCAATTGAATTATTTTTCCCCTTAAATTCTTTTCTCCTCTCTCTTGAATTGCTACTGTCCTTCCTCAAAAGTGGCGTCCTCGTCAAGTCTAATGTCTCCCCAATTTATAACATGAGCTAGGTGTACCAGATACTTCTGTAGCATAGATATGTGGAAGACATTGTGTAACCTGGATAGTTGCAAGGGTAAGGCTAATCTGTAAGCAACTTCTCTATCTCTATATCACTTTGAAAGGTCCAATGTATCGGGGTGATATCTTCCTTTTCTTTCCAAAGCGTATGATTCCCCGACGTGGTTGCACTTTTAAGAAAACACAATCACCTACTACAACTGTCAAGGCCTTCTTCGTTTGTCTGCATAACTTTTCTAACGGTCCTGAGCTACCTCAGTCTTTGTTGAAAGGGCTTAACTTTCTCTATTGTCTCGTAGACAACTTTAGGGCCCACAAGGCTACTTTTCCCCACTCCAGTCTAGCAAATTGATGATCTGCAAGGCCGACCATATAGTGCTTCAAATGGAGGGCTATACCAATACTAGCTTGAAAACTATTTTTGTATGCAAATTCCACTAATGACATATGTCATTTCCAACTTCCTGTGAAATCCATCATGTAATCTCTTAGCATATCCTTTAGTGTCTGAATAGTATGTTCCGATTGACTATTCGTCTGTGGATGGAAAGCAGTACTAAAGCATAACTCGGTACCCAATGCTTTTCGCAAACTTCCCCAAAATTAAAAGGTGAAGCGCGAGTCGCAATCTGGCACAATAGACACCGAAACCCCATGTAATCAAACTATCTCTTGAATGTAGAGACAACTTAATGTCTCTAATGTATCAGTGACCTTATATGGCAAGAAATGAGCAGTCTTTGTTAATCGATCCGCAATAACCCATACGACGTCATGTCCCTTAGGAGACCTAGGTAACCTTGCCACGAAGTCCATTGTTATGTGTTTTCATTTCCACTCTGCTATAGGTAGAGGTTGAAGCATCCCTTTCGGGCTCTGGTGTTTTGCCTTTACTTGCTAACATGTAAGACATCTAGCTACAAATTTTGCCATGCCATTTTACATCCCATTCCACCAATATTGCCTTTTTAAATCTTGGTACATTTTAGTTCCACCCGAATGTATTGCAAAAATCGAGTGATGAAATTCTTTAAGGACATTCTCTCTGAGTGCCTCATTACTTGGCACAAAAAGTCTACCACGGTACCTTAAACTTCTATCTAGATAGAACTTCCATTTTGGCATAACCTCCCCAGACTCTAATCATGCTTTGACAAAAGCTACCCCCTGATCATGTCTCTGTGCTTCCACAATTTCACTAACCAATTTGGGCGTTGCATTTTGTGCACCGAAGAAGCCTTCTCATCCCTTATTCTCAGCTGCATCTTGAATTCGCTAAGTGTTCCAACCATATCCCATTCCTTTAATGCCAAAGAGGCAATCATCCCCTTACTCTTTCGACTCAAAGCGTCAACAACTATATTGGCTTCACCTGGGTGATAGGAGAGGGTAAACTGGTAATCCTTCAGATATTTTATTCGACTTTGCCTCATATTCAAATATTTTTGTGTGAAGAGATACTTAAAACTCTTATGATCCGTAAAAATCTTGAACTGCTCACCATACAAATAATGTTGCCATTGCTTCAGTGCAAAAACTACGGTGGCTAATTCAATATCATGAGTTGGATAGTTTTGCTCATGCGACTCTAGCTGCCTAGAACCGTAAGCAACCACCTTTCCATTCTGCATCAATACACCACCTAATCTTGCTTTGGACGTATCACAATACATTGTATATCCAACGTCTTGTTCTAGAATGATCAATATCAGTGCAGTAGTTAGTCGCATCTTCAACTCTTGAAAGGATTTCTCACAAGCATCGTCCCATTCGTACTTTACTCCTTTCTACATCAAACGAGTCATTGGGTTGGCTAGTTTAGAGAAATCTTGAATGAGCCTTCTGTGGTAGCCAGCCAATCCCAAGAAACTGCAAATTTCAAACATCGTCTTTGGCTACTTCCAATCCATCACTGGTTCTACCTTAGATGGGTCCACCTCACCCCATTTTTTGATACAACATGCCCCAAGAATTTTACTTCCTTTAACCATAACTTGCACTTGCTTACCTTGGCATACAATTGATTATCTCCCAAGACTTGGAGAACACTCCTCAAATGTTGTTCATACTCTTCTTATTAACTTAAGCACACGAAAATATCGTCAATGAACACCACCACAAATTGGTCCAAATATGGCATAATGATCTTATTCATTAGACTCATAAACACAGCCAGTGCATTCGTCAACCCAAAAGACATTACTATAAACTCATAGTGTCCATACCTGGTTCGAAACGCCATTTTCATTATATGCTCCTCTTTGACTCTCAATTGGCGGTAGCTAGACCTAAGGTTAATCTTAGAATAACACTTCAATCCTATAAGTTGATCAAAAAGATCGTTGATCCTCAGAAGTGAATATCGGTTTTTGATGGTGACTCAGTTGAGTTGGCGGTAATCAATGCACAACCTCAATGTTCAGTCCTTTTTTTTTGACAAATAAAACAGGGGCTCCCCATGGAGAAGTACTTGGTCTGATGAATCCCTTTTCCAACAACTCTTGCAATTGGGTCTTTAATTCTTGGAGTTTGGCCGGTGTCACACAATGAAAAGCCATTGATATCGATGCAGTATTAGCTTACAATTCGATGGTGAAATTTACGTCCCAATTTGGCAGTAGTGCACGTAATTCTTTTGGGAACACGTCCGTGTACTTGCACACTATTTGTGGAAGCTCTAATTCCTTTTGGTCTTCTTTATTTAGGATCAATCTTGCTATCCGCCTTGCCATTTGATTGTGCTTTTGCATCCTACTATCCATTGTAGTTAGGGAATCCTACCTATCCTCCTTAAAAAAAACACACGATCCGTCCAACATGTAAACTTTTACTTTCTTCTTGTAACAGTCGATTATAACCCGATAGGCGGACAACCAATCCATTCCCAAAATAATGTCAAAGTCAGACATTTCCATAACTCAAAAATCACCAACCAAATGAGATCCTGAGATGTTTAACTCGTAGTTTCTACACACTAACTTTACTTGCACGCATTCCCCCATTGGTACTACACTTAAAAATATTTCCTAAAGGTTCACATTCAAGTCCTAATGATTTAACACATGTTGATGCTATAAAAGAATGCGAAGCTCCAGAATCAAATAAGATATGAACCCAAGAATTATAAAGTGCGAGATTACCCCTTGTCACAGTTGGATCCTCCTCTTCTTCATTATGTAGTGCAAACATTCGTCCAGTTGCCTTCTAGTTATTGCTCGGTCCTGACTTTTGGTTACTTCCATTTCCCTAATACTGCTACCTAGTTAGCCCTAACTTGTTCATCCATGGTTTTTGTCTGCCTACTGCCTTTGCATTCGCACTAGAACCTTCTCCATGATACCTGGATCAGTAACGTCTTGGGCAATTCGCTATTCGATGCCCCAATTGATGGTAATAAAAGCATTCAATTGGCATTGCTTGAAACCCTTCTCCTTGATACTGCGACCATTGCTACTGTTGTGGTGGCCTAGAAAAAGGTTTTTGAGTAATATTCCCTTTGGAATCTTTGTTTGGTCCCACTGAGGATTGATTCCCTTTTCTTTTATTCCAAATCCTACAGGCATTTGCCCTTTCTCTTTTTGACTCCAACACACTACCCACTGCATCTACAAATGTTAGACATTGTAAGGGTAACACATTTCATCTTATTAAAGGGTCCAACCCCCACTCAAATTTCCTTGTTTTTTCCTCTTCATCAACTACATAATGAGTTGCGTATTGAGCCAATTCTTTAAATTTAGCGGCATATTGTGATACTAACATGCTTCCTTGTTCCAGTAATTGAAATTCTCTGATTTTCTCTTGCCTGACCATGTGGGGAAAGAATTTCCTCAAAAATAACTCCTTGAACTGGTCCCAAGTCATTGACATAATATTTCGAGACTCCTTGATCAGCGTCCGCTAGTGGTTAGTCTCGTTTTCTAGCTGGTAGCTTGCCAAAGCAATTCGGTTAGCATCATCTTCGATCCTTATTGTATCAAACATCTTCTCAACTTGTTTAAGCCAACTCCCTGCTATCTTTGGGTTTAGCTCACCGACAAAGACTGGAGGTCTCTGCTTGCGAAATTCTGAAGAACAAATAAGTTCGTTGATTTTGGCGCGTTTTTCGTAACCTCTCTAGTTCCTCCAATATTTGGGCATTGACATTTTTGGGCAGATTCGTGGTAGGTGTAGGATTGTCATTATCAAGATGGTGATTGCGGATATCTGGTGTCTCGTTGATGTTGATGTTGTGACTAGTGTTTTGACCATTTCCCAAGTAGTTGTTTGCTCGTCTATCCACCATCTGCCAAACGTGAGAGCCGATTAGTTTAGTTATTCTAGGGTGCAAGAAAATGAGTTGGGAAAAAAAGGAAGAGTTCTATTATTGCTGGTAGATCGCAATCCCTACCTGTTAGTGCTATCAATCAATAACCAGGTAAGTTTCCAAGAGATTGAAGGGGTCAAAGCGGTCCCACTTAAGAACCAATCTCCTTTAGACAATGTAGCTGTCGTTCAAAGAAATTTCCTAGACATTGTTGAGCTGAAAGTTACTAATTAGAGTGTCCACAAATCATCACCTTCATAGCAGATTCCTTGCAAAGGATTTAGCACAGAAAACTTAAACTAACAATTCTAAGATCATTTAGAGCTGCGAGCTAAAGTACGTGGGTTAAGAGTTGAACGTATGCTCTGATACCAACTGTAATGACCCTAATTTTCATAAATGAAAATAGCGAGAATAACCAATAATGTCGTGTTTACTAAGATCTGAATAATTCCATAAATTGAAATAACTTGAATTACAAAGGTTATAATATGCAAATACAACTGTTCACGATAACAAATTGGGAAATGTCTCTATAATTATTACAACAGATTTATTTCACAAACTAATAAAGGGAAATATAAATGCTTGGAAGTCTAAGTCAACCAAGGCTCCACAAATTCCTCTACGGTGCCCTCCTCTCGATTCAACTCTTCAGTACCTGGCATAAAATGCTAAGGCAATACAAAGAAAGCCATGAGCTTGATAGCCCAATAAAATACTATAACATGATAATCAACTCATTCAGATCATACAATTATATGCATAGTATAATAATCAACATAATTAAATAAATGAGGGCAGGACAAACAAAATACTTAAAGATAATAATTAATCATGTTAGCTTTCAATAAGTCCGTACTTCTAAGCAACTCTCCGTAGAGCGCTGTTCTTACCTAATTGCTAACCAATGGACACGAAACAATTCAGACCCCTCTTTGGTTCTACATTGGATCCAGTACCAAGGATGCCTACGCCTCAGGTTATATATTAGACCCGTAACATCAATGGACCACTAAGAATCACGGCTTTCTAGAGGTACTCTTTCTGTATGAGACCCTCATTGCCTCCCTTATCCACCATAAATCCGCAAAGGCCAGAAACACCATGTGCCATCTTAGGGTAACGTGACACACTTACGCAAAGATTCTAGAATAGAACTCACTCTGTTAATAATAACCACCAATTTTCTCCAAATCACATCACAAGAATATATCACAAAACTTGTCACATGATCACAGATCGAGCAAAAACCCAACCACCTAGTTAGTCCAGATTTCAACCTCCAAATTAGTAGTAATCATGTATAATGTGAACGATATCATTTATAACATTAAGCCAAATAAATTAGATCCATATTAAGCAATATACCAAATAATGGACAAAATGAAGATGCACAAAAATAATACACATCATTACTAATCTTCCAAATTATTTCTAACAAATTTCATCACAAGTGATCCAAGTTTGTAAACTCAAAAGAAATACCAAACTGTGTCAAACTTGGTTGATTATGGATTCTAAATTTAAATAAATGTTTCAGAAAGATTTTACTAAAAGGGATTGAAGGCTAAAACTCAGTTTAAGTTAGAGAATTTATTTTTGGAAGAAAACTGGTATTTTCAAATAAGGGATTCTAGCAACTTCAAAACAGGAAGTTCAAGTTTGAAAAATGAAAAGAGGCTACAAATGACATCAAACAGAAGTGAGATTTAAATGTTTTGCTAGATATCCGATTTAGAAATACTTTTCAGAGAACTTGAAAGCTGAAAATCTTTTTAACATGGAGAAAATATTTTTCTAAGAAAATTGGACAAAATCTATCACACTTTGGCAAAATTGAAATTACTCATTTGATACTCATTGGTTTTCAGTGAAATCAGTGGCAAATGCAAGATAACTCAAAATCATAACTTTTCTAGGTGATCTTGCACAAAAATAAATTTTGTAGAGAAAATGACATTCGTTTGAAATAGCTGTCTTTGCAGGGTTATTTGCGGTAGTTAAGAAAATAGTTGTTTCGGCTATAAAATACTCTCTGATGGTTTTATAAAAATTCAGAGAAGTAAAATATATGCTAAACAAGCTCCTGTAATTTTTGAGTTCACACAGGCTTTTGCAAACAAATCAAAGATCAAAACCGTGTTGAAAATCATCATTTAGTTTTAACTTCTTTTCCTTACTTGAAATATCATATCAAATAATAAAACTTAATTTCACATGTAGCATATATATCATAAACAAAATTAAACATATGTCTAAGGACGGTGATAGTTGTAGATCCTACCTTAAGACTTGCACAAAACTTGGCTAAGTATCCTTTGATAAAATAGCTAACTCTCCCGTAATTCTAACTCTGAATTTTTTTTGTGAAGATAAAGAAGTAGAATGTGGAAGGAAAATGAAAGATGTGAATTCTTCCTCAACTAGACTAGCATATATATGAAAAGAAGATAAAGAGAGTAATCATGATTGATGTGTTAGAAAGGAAGGGAATAATATGGGAGATGGTGGGTAATTATGATGGAGGTGAAGCAATAACATGGATGATAGTGGATTGACATCAAAAGAAGTGAAAGATGAAGGGGTAAGTATGATTGATGAGTTGGAAATGAAGGAAATATCATGGGTGATTGTGGAGATAAGTTGATAATATATGATGATGTTGGTTTTAATGATGGTGTGGTGGTATGGGGTGAGTTGGTGTCTTCCACCATTGGGTTTCTTTATTATTATTAGGGGTGAGCAGCAGATATACCGATTCGCTAAAACCGACCGAACTGAACCGATCCGCCGCATTTTGGACGGATGCGTGATGATGAGCGGACGGTTGCGGATTGATTTTCTCCAATCCGCCAATTTGGCAGACGGATGGCGGATTTGAGGTTCCTTTGGCCGCAACCGAACCGCCAAACCGCGAGCATCCTTAATAATTTATATGACTTTGTGTTTTCAATTTGTTCAAATATTTTGTTTGTGTTTTCAATTGAAAAAGAGTTTAAATATTCTGTTGAAAAAAAGTTTTCAACTTGAATATATTTTTTGAATTGAAAAAAATAAAAGTATTATTTATTTATATTTTTTGGTTTTTAAATCTAACTCTAAAAGTAATAAATAGAAAATATGAAATATGCTGGTTGGTTTTTGTTTTCAAAAACATATATAAATGTAACAATACAGAGACATACAATCTCTACTACTACTCTGTTCATAGTTTTGGTGGTTTGAATTGTTTTTATATTTTAGGAACCACATATTGTAATACTTTATGTGAATAATGCATGTTGTAATTGTAATATGTGGATGAGGCATGCAGTGATTGTGATATTCTGAAGTTTCAAACTTTCTTTCTTTGGATGAGGCATGCAGTAATTGTAATACTTTTTTAAGTCATTGATTATAATACCTTTTTTTTTTGTTAAAAATTTATAAAAGGAAGTGCACAAGTTGAACTATGTTGAAAATTTATAAAATTTCAAACCGCCAAACCGATTCGCATCCATCCGCCAAACCGCCAATCCGCTCAATCCACATCCGCCGGATTGGCGGACGAATGAGGATTGATTTTCTCCAATCCGCTAATCTGGCGAACGGATTGCGGATTGGAGGTTCCGTGGCCGCAACCGACCCGCGCCCACCCCTAATTATTATTATTATTTAAAGGAAAAAGGATAGTGGAAAATACAACATTACTAGAGAGTAATTAGTTTTTACCTAAAATATTACACCATTAAAATACTGTCTAATAAAATCAAAATGCCAAAGCCACTCTCATTTATCATTAAAAATAAAAAATAAAAAATAAATAAATATAAGGTTTCATATTAACGAAAACCATTCACTCTCGCATCTCATACTTGAACATTGGTTTCATATTTTATACATTGAAATATATTGTTTTGTGAAAAATAGGTGAATACATTGGTGAATCTGGTTAGGGGGTGTGATTATTATTATTATTTATGTTGGCCCGTATGTTCTTGATGAAAGTCCAGAAATCCGCGCGATTAGATGCCGATCCTTCAGGTTAATACCGATAAAATAGCTTTGGTAATACTTGTATAACTTAGTACCTAGAGATTCTTGGTGTTGTGTATCCATTGCCTTGTTTTCTAACTTAAAAAGTAATGATTTATGAATTAGATATTGAAAATGACATTGCGTTGTTTGAACCATCATAAGCGGGTAAATAAAAGGGAGAAAGACGTGGGGTTGGAAGACATACATCACACACACGCACACTTATTACAACATTGCCCTGGTGCAGAGGGTCCGAATAAAATAATATACAATCCCAAATAAATAGTACAGTCCAAATAAATAATATAGTCCAAATATGTACAGAATCCAAATTAGATAACAAATTTAACTAAGAAAGCTGTAAACTAGCATGCAAGCTAGGGACTGCCTCGATTCTGCTCCAGACGATGGATGATGCATGCTCGGGTTGCTTGGCACGGAAATCCACTGCGATGCCCCAATTAGTCTCTGTTTGCAATTGATGCCGGAATGCTGTGCAAGGCCTTTGAAAGGCTACTGATTCTTGATTTGCTGCAACAGAGAGCAGGAAAAGGGCATGTCAATGTATTTTCACAAATGTATGCATGCCTCGATCCTCGTGCCACCAATCACGCATATCGATGCATGATGGTCGAGGAGTCGAATTGCACGACTCAATATGAAATGAATGCACATATAAACACAACAAAACCTAAACTCCATCATGGATAATCCGGAGTGTCGGTGACTAGGAATTGAGACACGTTCCGTCACTCGAAGTACGAAACGTTCCTCGTTTCCCGTGCTCGGGCTAACCCTTATCCCAAGCACAATGCAATATGCATGATATGCATGAATGCAACTAATATACAACCTAGCATATGCAATGCTATGAAATGAAATGGCATACACGATGCACGAGGTAACATGGCATACATAATGCGCTAACATACAACCTAGCATACGTAATGCTATGAAATGAAATGGCATACTCAATGCATAATGGGCTTACACCAACATGAGTGGACCAAAAAAAAAAAAAAAAAAAAAAAACAAAATGAGCCTTCAGCTCCACGATCCCCCCAAGCTAAGTCCTTGGTGGAGGCATACCATTAGTACTTGAAAGTTGGTTTCCACGTAGGGTGAGCTAAAGCCCAATAGAGAATACTTGAATACACTGTATGATGCTTAACAAATTCATATGGTGAATGCATATGCATGCTATTTACCAAAAATATCATGCTCTCTCTTTAGAAGCAATGCAATGCCATGGTTATATATATCAATTTGTAAAACAATACTTTTTAAATCAGAAAAACAAGGCAGTAAATATATAACACTAGGAATCTTTAGGTACGTGTCTACTAGTAGGCTATATAAGCACTACTAAAGCTATTTTACTGGTACTAACCGGAAGGATTGCACCTAACCGCATGGGTTTCTAGACTTTCACCAATGACACACAGAATAACATAGAAATACCACAACTCCACCCCCTAACTAGATTCACCAAGGTATTAACCCATTTTTCTCAAAACGATACATTTTTAATGTATAAATACGAAACAATGTTCAATGTAGGATGTATGAGTAGTTGGTTTCAATTAACCTAACCTTCATGCAATTTCTACAACAATCAAGGTTATCCTTCATCGATAGCCCAAAACAGATATCTCTATACAAAATATAAATAACCAACAACAATTATATTTCATAATCTCAATATAGGAGTAACAATACATATCCAACTCTATTCTCTTCATCAAAGATACATTCATTTTATTATTTTAAAAACTCAACATCCTTTCTCTTTTTCCTTAGGTCAAACTAATGATTTTCAATAAAACATCTATTTCTTTTCAAAACACATTTAAAGGAGAGATTTTCAATATTTCGACATAACTCAATAATATGCTCATTCCCACAACATTTCTCAAGAACCCATTTGAAAACCTCTCTTTTACATTTCAAAAACCAAACCTAAATCAACCCAGAACTCCCAAATCATGATACTTTATAAGGAACACATAACGAAACTAAGAATCGTACAAGGAGGTTGAAGAAATTCCCACTTAAGAGTAAAAGAAGAAGAGAACAATACCCAACTTTAGACAGAGTCAAAAATGGAAACTTCACTGATTAAAACATTCACCTTTACAAGCTCTACACTTTTGTCCAAAGCACTAAGGCGGCAAGATTAACGGATTTGGGTGTGTTTGAGGTGTTTAGACAAGAACTAGAGAGAGAGAGATAAAGAGAGAGAGAAGAAATTTGTTAAAGTTAACTTTTAAAGAGAGAGAGAGAGAGAGAGAGAGAGAGAGAGAGAGATCAAAAAGTGACTGAAAAGATCTTTTTCCGTACTGATATATGCACAGACCACTCGAGCAACCAAAACACCACTCAAGTGTCAAACATAAGGAACTGCTCGAGTGAACAACTTAAGGCTCGAGCGCACAATGACACCTGTAATGCCCCAACTTTTATTACTCAAATAATCTTACCTTTTTTCTTTAAATCAGTCCATTTCAATAATAACAAACATCAAAGATATTTCAGAATAAATAAATTACAATGTTCTCTCTCATGTATTACGTCATCAATTACAAAATAACGAAAGATGTAAAAGGGATTAACACTTTTTACAACACATTGGCATTCCGCCTGCATTTAAAAGGCCCCATGGCCAACGATTAACAGATTTCAAGTCTCGAGCAACTCTTCACTCCATACCTGAAAATGATTAGTAACGTGGGATGAACACAAAAGTCCAGTAGGAATCTCAATAATCTTAAACAATAGCAACATATAAATAGCTATGATCAGGAATGCTTCATGTATATATATATATATAGGATATGTGACAATCCATACTTCAAAAAATACTTACATAAATACAATTGTCCAAAAGATCCTCTTTAACATAACAAGAAACAAAGACCAATTTTTACCTTTCAAAACTTTTCATTTGCATTTAAAGAAATCTCAACCATTCATCACATTACCATGATCTCCTAAGATCGATATAATCAATATACTCGTTCTACATTCCAACTCATTACGGCTACAAGGATAATTACTATATATTATATATTATGTCCTTAAGCACAAGTGTAACATGAACGTTCACAAATACATATATATATATATATATATATAAAAGTAACAATAGACGTGTCAACACGCATTACTATATTTTACCGATCACAAGCACATAAAGCCAATAATGCATCCCTTCTCATCACAACACAAATATGAAGATACACTACGCATAATCAACACATAACAGACCCCGGCTTTGTCAAGCCATAACCACTACAACCCACTTTACCAAGCGCAAGCTAGAGGGGAGAAGAACCTATCTCAAAGCGCCAAACTTTACCGGATCTTGAGCCAGAGGGGAAAGGAACCCGTTCACACTTTACCGAGTGCGAACCGGAGGGGAGAGGTACCCATGTCAAAGTGCCAAACTTTACCGGGCGCAAATCTAGAGGGGAGAAGAACCCATATCAATGCACACTTTCATTCAACTCAACAATTAGCACATTATTCCAAGTTTCACAAATAACATCAATACCATCCTTTACCGATAGCCAAGGACACATCCTCATAAACAACAGCTACC